GGTGTTAGTTTGAGGGGATTTCACACACTCTTTTTACTTGGTGTGCGTTATGACTGCAGTGTCGCACAGGAACTGAAAGAAGCAAATATTTCTTTCAGTTTCGCCTTTTTTTGTCACTTTTTTAAAATAAATGCTGATTGGAAGTAACATTTCTCTTTGACCACTATGATGGATAATCACGCGGTAAAGATGCTTTCATTTATTTGTATATATAATTGTTGTCTTTTTTAAGAGGAATCAATCACCTCCCATTAACATGTTATACTCTTTTCCGCTTTAACATAACAGCAGAACAAAGCAACATGTATACATTTATAATAAGGACAATGTTTATTGTAAATAAATATTGCTTTGTTTGCAGAATATTAGCAACAAAGCAATATGAAATAATGACGTATCACCCTTTTACTTACACCTTATAACAGGAGAAGAAACCCATGAGTGAGATAATCTGTACAGAAGCCTATTCAGGCCCAAACGATAGGATCTGTATTCATAAGAAAACATTTCAACAGAATTATGACATTATTCTGTAAAATGTATGAATCCTTTGGCTATCAGAAAATAGGGAAAAACTAATTATTTTTGGCAAGTTTTGTCACATTTTTCTTTTAAAAATGTACGTTGTGTGGGCTTTCAAAGCTGTAGTAACATTTTTGTATTTGAAGAATGGCCATTACTGACAGTTTTTGATAGAAACATCTTTATTTGTTGGTTGGGTAAGAGATGGTGGGAAAGAGAGAGGAACACTAAATGTAGCCACTCTATCCATTGTTGTTTTTTGTTCACTCTTCTCCTCTAAAAGTACACAAAAGCAGCGCCAGTCCATTGTGGTGCAAAACAGAGAGCAGGCAGGGCGACCTGGGTCGAGAGGGGCGACACACACACACACACACAACACACACACACACACACACACACACATATTCTCTCCGTCACACACACAATTCACTAGCTGTGAGTGGAAGCATTCAAACACACATTCATTTAAGTTCATGCAAACATGCGCACACACACATACTTGCATTTCAAGCCAGGAGCCACACACACACACACACACACACACACACACACACACACACACACAGTTGTATTCATCTGAGTTAAATTGCATATCCCTGCTCGCTCCCACGCAACGCTTTGTGTTGATGGAGCAAGTTGCTCTGGTTAGAGAGGAGATGAATGTGAAATGTAAGACTGAAATGAGACACATCAGTCACACACACACACACACACACACACACACACACACACACACACACACACACACACACACACACACACACACACACACACACACACACTCATTCGCCTCATGCTCTGTAAAAGCGCTCCGTCATCTTCGTGCCTTCTCCCTGAGGCTGAGATTGTGCCTCAGACAGACCAAACAAAATGCCACCAATTAGCCATTAGAGAACAGACAAACAAATCATGACCCAAAGTAATAATAATAATAATAATTGTTTCAATTTGTATAGCGCCTGTCAAGAGACCCAATTGGATGCTTTGGGACTGCAGCATCCCATAATATGCATGCTCTCTTGAAGACTCCTTCACCGTTTGTCAGTACATGTAAACCTACTCTTTCAGTCAGTAAACTGGAATTGTTGATTGAAGTTTTTTTGATTGAATTTGCCTTTCTTCCCATCAATTCCTATATATTTGTCTGTGTGAGCATGTTAACGTTGATAGCATTGTTGCACCATCAAATGCTTAATCTGTAGTATCTGGTGCACAGTTAGGCGGCGCCATCTGGTGGCGGCTACATGTAACAGCAGCCCGTGTTATATAGGTCACAGCTCTCATCGCAGAGCCTCTTCTGGGCTTTCTGCACGCCGTGTTTATCTGCGAGGAGAGCAAGGGGATCAGAGCGTTGTGCCATTGCCCATAATGCATTGCATTGAGCGGCAGCCTTCTCGCCAGCTGCGAAGATGCCAGGAACGTGCGGCGGGGGGGGCCGGGGGGTTGGTGTGTGACACAGAAAGAGATGCATAATCTTTGTGGGAAGCTTATGTTGAGGAAAGGGAGGATGCAACTTGTAATGCTACTCAAAGTTGCCAAAGTCCCCCTGAGCAAAGGAATGGATCCCTTAACTGCAGCTGCTTTTAGGTGACCTTAATCATTTGCACATACTGTAGCTAAACCGCTGCCTGGGGAACAATCTCAGCAGGATGTTGGGAGACTGAGCTTTTGGAAATCCTGAGGCAGCCATTCGATTGGCTGTGAGGCTAAAACAGTTGGAAGTATTTTAGTTTTTTTCCCACTGAAGCATAATGTCATCCCACTAGGAAACGTTTATACTTAAAGGGGCCCTATTCTGCTCAGTTTCAGGTTTATATCAGTATGTTGTGTCTCTACTTTAAAGAGTCCTCTCCTGCTGATGTTCAGGTGTATATCAGTATGTAGTCTCTCTACTTTAAAGAGTCCTCTCCTGCTGATGTTCAGGTGTATATCAGTATGTAGTGTCTCTACTTTAAAGAGTCCTCTCCTGCTGATGTTCAGGTGTATATCAGTATGTAGTGTCTCTACTTTAAAAAGTCCTCTCCTGCTGATGTTCAGGTTTATCAGTATGTAGTGTCTCTACTTCATCATGTACAATGTGCAATCATGTAGGACTACCCAAATAAGTCATTTCAAAACCATGTGTGGAGAAATTTTTTACACAATTCTTGACGGTTGACAGCACATTTTAAAGTTACATAATCGGCAAACTATTTGATATTCAAAAATAATGATTAATGGCAGTGCTAAATCGCTTGTTCTATCAAATGTCAGGGGAAATATTCTTCATAACAAGTTCCCAGAGCCCAAACTGACTGATTAGTAAGGTTTACCTCATGCACCCTAGATAATTATGTACTTTGTGGTATCTGCAGGAACATAAAGGTACTTGCTGTACAGTATCTGTATCTGAATATGCATATGAGTAGCTTGACCCAAATCTGTTAATACCCGAGATATGAGATGCAATCCTGAGATGGCATCTGGATCTGTTTTCTTTGCTTCGTCTAAACTGCTGAAAGGAGCCTCAAAACACGCCCGAATCACGTCTGTTTTTATCGTTTTCTAACCGGTTTCTGCCTGTTTTTAAACTCCTCACATGCCAACAAACGCACTCCCACACACCCAAACAGACACAGGGCAAAAACACCCATTGCTTTACACTCGCCTGATTTGTACCCACTGCATGCTTATGTTCTGAATCCTTTCACCACTGTTCCTCTGTTAGGTCTAAATCTGAAATCAAGCCACGTACTCAAGTATCTCCGCTGCATGCTGAGCAGTGTGTGATCTATTTCTGTCCGAGTAGGATGGCTATAAATAGGGAACCACCTGTCTGAACCTATTGTTCCGTAAATCATTAGCATGAACATTAACGAGAGCAGAAACTCTTGCAGGAGGACTTGCTTATTATCCAACACACAAAGAATAAGCCAGATTTGACAAACACCTGTTTAATATACAGAAGCATGTAGTTCTTCCATGTGTCCACTAGAGGGAGATAGAGAGCATCATAAATGTCTATTAGAGTTGATTTGATGTGTTTTCCTCCTTTTCTCTCATAATATTGTTGATACATTTATACTTTACTAGCTTTAAAAATGTATTTTAAGCAGAGTTAGAATAGAGGAGGCTGTTCTGTAGTTTACTTATTATCAACATATCCCATGAAAAGGCGTTCATCTATTTCAAATCTGCTGTGCCTTTTTGCTCCAACCCAATTGGTTCCCACTAAATATGAAAAGAATAAAACGCCCACATGTATACAGTTTGATTATTTTTAAAGGTAGCCTCTTGTTTAAACCCTACTTTACTCAAAGAGGTTTATTTTATTTAGCTGTGATTAATCCATATTTTGGTGCTATAGTGAATATTTCAAGTAGCGGGACGATGTGTGTGTGATTGAGTCAGAATAACTGTGTATGTTCTCTGTAGTGAAGAGACATGTCACTGGCCAAATGTCCCCCTTTTGGACGTCCTCTATATGACCTTTTGTTTCTACAGACAATCCCCGCTTTCAGTTACAAAATAGAGACGATTGACATGTTTGATATAATATGTTCTCGGTCTCTGTGCTTTCCATCCGTCCCCTACAGTATGTTTTTATCATTAGCTAACATTTCCTAACTTTCCATTCTGGAGTCTGGGAAGTAGGTGGGCTGTTTGCACACAGGGATATTTAAAAAAAATGTCTGTTGTGTTTACTTTGTCATTATTTAAGCTTTAACGTTTCCCCTCTCTTTTGTGTGGAGCAGACCATGGCGGAGTACAGCTCTCTCCTCAGCGACCTGTCTGAGAACATCACCAACGAGGACTTGGAGCAGCTCAAGTCCGCCTGCAAGGAGGACATCCCCGAGGACCAGAGCAACAACATCACCTCCTCCAAGGAGTGGTTCAGCTACCTGGAGAAGAACGACAAGCTGGCCCAAGGTGAGACACTCAGAGACCTGATCCTGCGTATCGAATCATCAATCAGATGATACAGCTCCTCTTATTTTCACATACAATAGGCCTTAAAGGTCCCCTATGATACTGTTTTTCATCAATATATTACAGGCCTCAGATATATACAAAACATGTCTCTGAAGTGTTTGGTTACCTTGGTTGGTGATTGGCTAATGGTTACACAAGCCAGACAGGTTTTTATATAAATGGATCAGGACAAAAACTGAGAGAATTTGTGTGGATTTTGCATAATAGATGACCTTTAACTTCTAACAGTTGTTGTCTTTCTATAACATTTTAGACTTAAAACACATAACAATATTTCCCGCGCAGATAACCTGTCGTACCTCGAGCACATCTTTGAGATCTCGCGGCGACCGGACCTGCTGACGCGGGTGATCGANTACCGCACCACCGTGCTGAAGATCTCCGAGGACGACGAGATCGACACCAAGCTCACACGCATCCCCTCAGCCAAGAAATACAAAGGTAACACACACACACATACCATGTATACATCACTTCAGGGGACATTACAGTGACTAACATGCACTTCCTGGAGGCTTATCCTAACCTTAACCATAACCAACACATGCCTAACCCTAAACCTAACCAAGTCTTAACCCTAAAATTATGATCCATTGTGTCCCCATAAGGGAGGTGAGTCCCCACACTTGGTTGTGTAAACAGATGTTGGTCCCCACAAGTATAGTAATGCTAGGCCACACACACACACACACACACACACACACACACACACACACACACACAAGCGTAATCTCGAACAACACATAGCTGTAGGGTTAGACTTATGTCTCTGTTTTTGAGAATATCAGACTAGGTTTAGGACACTTACTGTTGAAGAATTGACTCTTAGTTTTTTTAATTACATTTCTGGCCGTGGTTCATTACAACTTATTTTCCCCTGCTTTTGTTTCACCGTTTTTCATTTGGATGAACTGTGGTTTTAAAGCATTCATCTTGATTTAACTATAAACGTACTGCATGTATGTTCTGTGTGTAAAATAAACTAGAAGAGCTTCAAGAAGAGGGTCCGGTTGCTCTAAAATGTTATGTTTTGCTTCTCTAAACCGGCTTTCTGCTTCCATTATTAGGTGTATTTTCTACACGTCTTCGTAGCTCAGTTCAGCTCACGGGGAAATTAAGCTTCAAGCCTGTTTGAGTTAAAACGACATAAAACACAGGTGCAATGGCTAAATTAAAAACATCAATCCCTCTGCTATAAAAAGAGATTAAATGTCTGTTTATCTCAATTCTTCTCTCAAAATGTCACTTTTATGACACATGCACTGAAATAACTTGAGTTCCTCTTTAAAAAAAAATACTCTCTGTGATTTTGGTTATTTCTTCACAGATATTTTACAAAAATGTTATATTTGTGTTATTATGTCATATACGTATTTATTTGCTCCTTTGGCTGCTTTGTCCTGTCATTGTCTTTTAACTTTCTATCTCTAGAGAGCACTATCTTTTTTGTACTTTATATATTGAAATATTATATATTAAGTACAAAAAGTCTAATAAGAAAAGTGCTTCTTATTACTGCATGAAATGACACACACATACACTTAGAAACAATAGAAATAAGTATAATTAAATGAATACTTCTAAGTAATGCTCACTTAATGTTCAGTATTTTTCTTTGTCATGTTTTTATTTTACTTAATTTCAACTTTGTTTGTTTTGTGAATTGTTTTGTAAGGCGACTAGAAAAGTGCGATATACATTAGTGAAATGAACTCAAATACTAAAAACATGTCAAAGGATCTCACAATATCCAAGTTAGTATAACTATTACAAAAGTTAACATTTAAACTACTTTCTTTGTTTTATTATTTTTAGTATTTGGGTTTACTTTGTACATAAAGCAACCGTTTATTATCCAGCTCTGCTTGTGATACTGAATATGATGTAATGACTTTTTTTCTATACATTTCTGTGTTTGGAGAAAATGTTTCTTATTATTTCTCTTTCTCTACCCTCTTTTTCCAACCCCTCCCCAAAAAGACATCATCCGCCAGCCCTCTGAAGATGAGATCATCAAGTTGGCCCCTCCCCCTAAAAAAGTGTGAGGCCCCGCCCCTCAGCCCTGATCTCTGCACCTTGATTTCTTCACTTCTGGCACTCCAATCAACCGACCAACCGAATCTGACCAAACCCCCATCGCTCGCCCCACATCGCCCCCCCCTCACACACAAACACACATCCAGCCACGTCCCCTACTTGTACTAACACATGACACACAACAACCACCGACCCCGCAACCAATCAGATGGTAGCGAGGCCGCCTCCTCCCGAGCTGACGGGAAGCTGCAGAAAAAGAGACATTAGAAGAAGAAGAAATCTGGAGGGTGTGTGTGTGTGTGTGTGTGTGTGTGTGTGTGTGTGTGTGTGTGTGTGTGTGTGTGTGTGTGTGTGTCG